TGTTTTCCATCTGCTGGCTGGGAACGTGCTGCTGCCTGGGGAGGAAAGGGAAATGGATTTGGGGTGTGTGTTTGCTGGGGAGGGGCCAGAACTGATATTCACTGAATGATGCCTCCTTGCATTGGGCACTGCGTTCGATCCAACCCCATGGCAATCTCTCGTCCACAAGGTGCCTAGGTTCTGTTGGAAATATTCCCATGAGGAAACACTCTCTTCCCCATGAAAACTCCAGGAAAATTCCTTATCCTATCTTGGGGAACCCACAGACCATGCTGCCCTGCACAGAGTCTCAGCTGCACCTAAATCCCCCAGTCCTCACCAGACCATTCCTGCTCACCTTTGGCATCTCTCCCTGCAGGCACCTGCAAGAAGAAGTGTCCCACATCAGAGCTGTGACAACCTCATGGATCCCTCCCGCTTCCCACAAGCCCTCACCTTTCTTGATGGTCCAGAAGGTTGCTGCAGAAAGGAGGAGGGTGACAGTCACCAATACCACTGCAGTGACTGTGGAGGCCTGCTGGTTGTTGGGGTCTGGGGACAGAGTGCAGGGATGGGGACAGAGAGCTTGGGGTTGATGGAGTGTGGAGGAGTCCGAGGGGGGTGATGTGGACATTGGGGTGTGTTGGGGATGTAATGACAGGATGGGGACAAAGGAGAGTGAAGGGGAAGATTGGAATGGATGGGGACAGCAGGAATAAAGGGGAAAGCCTCACCAGCAGTTGCTGTACCTTCCATGGAGCTGGACACGTTGCCTGTTGAGACAAACGGATGGGCTGAGTATCCCCTGAACTCTCACCTCTGCATGAACACGGCTCCTGAGTGCACTGGTACGGGGCACGGCTGGCAGCCATGGGCAGGAGTCCACTGAGCCAGCTCTGCCCCTGAGACACGTGGAATGACGTGGGTTCTCTCCTACATGGCCATCGATTACTGAAACTGGTGGACTAAGACATGCGTGGCAGAGATGCAGCTGTGCACTGTATGATACTGCAGCACGACTCTCTTCTTTCCTAGACCTCAGGGATAAGAAAGAACTAGCATGTTTCTCTGTCTAGATGGGATGACAC